GCCCAGCTGGTGCCAAACATACTACACAGAGGCTACAGATGCTATGATGATGTTTGCTGAAACAGAGCGAGACCGCATCAAACCGGCCCCAGCAGCCCGGCCAGGACACTGGGTTCCAGAAGTCAGGCTGGAAGTGGCCATAATGCTGAGCCTGGGTTTGAACCAGGCCTGGCCGGACCGCGCCTTGCAATTCAAACCACGAGCTCGCTGTCATCCTTTATGTCACAAATAAAATGACGTCACATAAATATTTGTACGTTTTTGATGTGATAAACCCCGCCCCCATCGAGGCGGCACTCTGCTCAAAGCACGCCCGGCCTGGGCCGAGGTAGAATAAGGCTGGGCCTGGCTGAAGTTGCTCATACTGATGGAGTTAATCAAAACTGGTTTAACAATCAGGATGGATATAAGCAAATGTTTAGTTCTTACACAACTTGATTACTGGTACTTCTTAATTTTCCACTTCTCTCCTGCTGTTGTGCGCTGTCCTGTGACGAGGCACTGAACTGCTCATCAGTAGCTGAGCCAAAGACRTAGTTATACTGACAAAATGAAGATATTTTCTGTGGTGACAGTAACTTTAAGAGCACTTCCTCCATTAGCTGTTAGCAGTGTTAGCAGCTAGCAGCACAGTCAGGTAACAAAATTTTTTAAAGAAGCACTACATGGAACTACATCCAGGGAATTATTCTCATCACCGTCAACTAGCGTTCTTTGTGGAACAAGTTGCAAAATATCTTAAGTATCAGACTGAGACTCATCACATCCAGTTCTTATTTTTAATTGAGCTGGATCAGTTTTTCTGAGACAAAAAAGAAATAAAACACAGGGATTCTCTGTTTGTAATCAACCATAATYCCATCAGTTTTATTGTTCTCTGTCTTTGTTTGTTGCCTGCAGATATAAGAGCAGTCAGAAGGAGGTGAACTGGTCCAAACTGAAGAAACCAGTGTACCTCAGCAGCAGAGGCCGCACGTTTTCTGACTGGTCAGCCACCTGGGCTGGATACCTGATCAGCAAGGTTAGCTCATCTCCTAATCTTTAAATTCAATAAAGCCTCAAATTTAAAAGCAGTTCTGCTCCCTTGTTCTTCAGCAGTGTTAGCGGTCGATTCTGTGTGTTCCAGGTGAGACATGAGCTGGCCGGCAAGGTGTTCAAGTGCTGCAGCTTCATCATCAAACACGACTACAAGGTCACCATCTACCTGCTGCCTCACATCCTGCTCTACATGCTGCTGGGCTGCACACCTGCAGAGCAGCAGGAGGTCAGGACGGGCCTCCGGCTCTCAGTCCTGTAACAATAATACGGCCGGATCCAGTTCAGTTTTAATTTGTTTGGTCCTGTAAGGTGACGGAGGAGATGCTGGCGGTGCTGACCGAGGGCGACGGACGTGGAGGGGGCTGTGTCCAGGAGACGGCCTCCAGCCTGTCACAGCTCAGCACTCAGACCGTGTTCAGCATGCTGTCTCACCTGACGCAGTGGAGCCGCCACGTCCTGTACTCCAAACCCAGAATCAACGGTGAGACGCGCCCATCACTCACTTCCTGTTTCCTCCTGTCTGCGTTCTGTTGGAGGTGAAAACTGAAGCGTGTCGTTGCAGACAGTGGAGATTATCAGCGTGTGGATGCCTTCCTGAAGGGTATTCCCCAGGATGTCCTGGCCAAGGCCTCCCTGCGGTCCAAAGCCTACACTCGTGCCCTCATGCACTTTGAAGCATTCATCCTAGAAAGCAAAGAGAACATCCAGGACCACCTCTCCTTCCTGCAGGTCAGGCTGAGTCAGGACTCACTGAGGTTTGACAGGAGTCATCACTGGCGCAGCTGTTTGATGCGGTTTGGTTTCTGCCGACGCAGATGCTGTACGCGGCGATGCACGAGCCTGACGGAGTGAGAGGGGTCAATGCTCTGAGGAGGGAAGAACCCTCGCTACGGGAACAGATACTGGAACACGAGAGCATCGGGTTGCTCCGAGACGCAACCGCCTGCTACGACCGCGCCATTCAGCTGGAGTCAGACCAGGTTCTCACTGACAAACAGACTCACAAAATGTCAACACTTGTGTTTTATTTCATATATATCAGCATTCATATTGGTATCGGCCGATATTGGTCATTTTTTTAGAATATCGTATCTGTCCGATATGTAAAACTGGGCCGATACTAACGTTCGATACTGATTTCCCACTTTTTAGCTTTAGTTTCTGTTTTGGGAGGGGAGATGGTTGGTTGAGCAGCATCTGTTTGATCAAGATAGTGATATTGACGCTGCACAACCAGGAATAAATGAAGCAGAGCCATGTCAGAGGTCTGGTCGTTTATTTATGGTCCAAGAAAAGACCCAAGTGTGTTTGTGTAATATCAGTTATCAGCCATAACGGCAATAATTACATCTGATATCGATATCAGCTGAAGTTTTCATATCGGTGCATCTCTAGTTTCCTAGCATACTTCTCTGTCAGACCCCTGTCCCCAACAAACAGGGTCCAGTGCTAACCTGGAGCCAACGCTCACTCAGCACCAGCTCTTTTTGTTTCCACCACTGTAAGTTCTGGTTCTGACACCAAATACAGTGCCATCTGGGTACCAACTATTTGCTGGACCAGAGCAAGAAAACGTTTTGTTGAGTACTTGGGGCGGGCTTATTGCGACCAGCAACYAATCAGAATGTTTAATTTCACTTTTCCTCTGCTGAATTTAGAAAAAAACACTTCTAATTAGAAGTAAAATAACAGGACGTCATTGTTTTTTTTCTATTTATTTAATTATGACCCCCGCACGCGACGCGTAAGCGGGAGTCGTATTGTTTTCGTACTGTTTATTTTATTTTATTTTTTTCTCCGGAGATTTTTGGTCAATCGTAGCACAAAAACAGCTGCACCAATCAACATGAAATTTGGCAGGACTGTAGATGAGTCTGACCTACACTGCGCCAGCCAACGGTTTTACTATAGACCCCATATTTGAGGAGGGGGCTACTTTCGAAGAGAGGGTGTCAGGACAAACAAAATCGCTTATAACTCAGAAACTGTTCAACATAGAAGCGTCAGATTTCTTTTGTTGTTTAGCTCTGATGAAGCTCTATCCATCAAGCCCACCAATCAGTGCCCCCCCACCCCCCCAGACCCCCAATTTCTCAGAAAAAGGGGGGCCTGGACTTAGAAAAATGGTTATTGCTCAAAAACTATTAAACATAAGAGCTTCAGATTTCTTTTGTTGTTTAGCTCTGATGAAGCTCTATCCATCAAGCCCACCAATCAGTGCCCCCCCACCCCCCCCCCCAATTTATCTGAAAAAGGGGTATCTGGACATACAAGAATGGTTATTGCTCAAAAATTATTAAACATAGGAGCTTCAGATTTCTTTTGTTGTTTAGCTCTGATGAAGCTCTATCCATCAAGCCCACCAATCAGTGCCCCCCCACCCCCA